GCTCTTCCCCACATACCACGTTCTTACCTCTGTGCCTTTTTATATCTTCACTGAAAATTGTTTTTCCCTCCTCCACTGCAAAAACTTTTACTCTTTGTTACAGTTTAGCTCAAACATCACAGAGACTTCAGGCATCTGTTGATGCTACTTCCTTTGTATTCCAAGTCCCCTATGCATTCATGTTTAACTCACCACACTTCAATGTCTGTCTCCCCATGAGACTGTGAGTGTGAGGATAGAAAAATACTATCCTCGACACAAAAATTTATCCTCAATAAATGCTTTTTGAGTACAAGTCAGTAAGGTATGGCATTTCTGCCGCAGTCTTTGAAACAATGTTTGTCACAATCATTTTTATTCCATAACATTTTCTTTAAAGTAATATACAGTAAAAAAATACTGTCAAATTATTAAAGGTCACTTAAAATATAAGACAATACAAATTCAAAATTAAAGTAAAATGTAATACTATTTGATGAGATATTTATCTTATTGCTGGAAAAAATTCACACTAATTTCACTCCATTTTAGGGTAAAAGGGGCAAAACAAAGATGGTACTCTTTGGTAGTCTTTCAATTTAAATACTTACAGAAAAATAAGAATGGCATCAAATTTGTAGTATACCCCCCCCCTTAAATTAATAAGGACTTCTATTATGTTTTTAAAATAAATGACAAGAATAGCATCTAAATCAAATGCTTACACTTGCAGTCCTCTCTTTACCACTCACCTTCCTCATCGATCCATTTCATGGTAAAAAGCTGTTCATTGTCAAAAGAACACATGTCTCGAACCTCATTGCAAAGGCCCTCAAAGGAGATGGAAGGTTCAAAGTGTGTTATCATGATATCCCTGAAAAAGAAAGGGCGTTTTGAGTTAGACAATGATTAAAATGAATAATGCTCTACACATTACTGAATGCATGATGACTTGATGAACTTCAGCTATTTTGTATGTGCATCAACATGTGCTGCTTCCAGTAAACTATCTGTGCAAAGTAAAAATTAAATTGGTAAGAAACCAATTTAATCCAGTCTTCACCTAACAGCTCTGACAGATGGTAGTCCCACCTTTGCTTTAATATTCATTATCAGAAGATAGCTCTTTCATTAGGCATTGCACTCCATAGATGAATGGCTTCTGCCTTATATTTAACAGAAAACTGTTCCAATCAATAGTCCCAGGCCTCCCCTTCTCAAAAAGTCTACCCTTTGTCCAAGAAATGGCCCTTCAATAATTTGACAAAGATCTGTCATGTCCTCTTCCTCAGCCCTAACTTCCACAGATTAACCACCCATAAGGCTGTCATTCTTTCAATGCCATAATTTTTAGATCTCACACCCTCATGTTCACCATTTTCCAAAAAAATCCCTATTTGCCAAACTTGGCTTTTAAATGATTCATATTTTAAGGTGGATACTCAAAAAATGTAAGAATAGACATAAATGTGTAAGCAATAGTATGTAAGTCCACCTAGCAGCCATTCATTATAAAACTTAAAATGTAACAAAAAGTAGGTAAGTGGATAAAAAAGCTGTGGTACTCAGTGGTTGAATGTGGACCTATGAACCAGGAGGTCACGGTTCAATTCCGGGTCAGGGCACATGCCCAGGTTGCAGCCTATCGGTGATTCTCTCTTACCATTGATGTTTCTATCTCTCTCCCTCTCCCTTCTCTCTGAAATCAATAAAAACGTATTAAAAAATAAAATAAAAAGCTGTGGTACATTTACACAATGGAATACTACTCTGTGTAAAATGGAAGAAAATTTACCCTTTGCAACAGCATGGATGAGCCTGGAGAAGATTATGCTAAGTGAAATAAGCCAGTAAGAGAAAGATAAGTGCCATATAATTTCACTCATATATGGAATTTAATGAGCAAACTGAACTACCAAGCAAACTAGAGACAGACTTCATAGATAGAGAGCAGGCAGACAGCTGGGGGGAGTTGGGGGGATTATGGGTGGGGGAGAGATTGAGCTAAAAAAGAAAATAAAAAGAGAGAACTCATGGACATGGACAACAGTGTGGTGATTGTGGAGACGAGGGGTGGGTAGAGGTGGAAGCGGGCATAGAGGGGATAAATGGTGATGGAAAAAATAAAATAAATAAAAAAGATGTTTTAAGCAGAAGCCTGGGGTTTCTCCCAAGGAGCCATTCGAAGCCTATGATTTAATCATATAGTAGTCATCCTTCCAAAGGTAAGTTAAACAGACAGGATGACTCTAAGGGAACACTTACATAACTGTCTCTATGTGTCACACTCTGTTCTAAGGGTTTACAAAGTTAATGTAGTTCATGTGCTTCCTCTATTTTAAACTCTTCAAATGCCTTTTGTCTCTCATGCAGAGTAAAATCCAAAGTCCCTAGCGTCTACAAGGCCCTCTGTGAGCTGGCCCTGGCTACCTCTTCTACCGCCAGAGAGATAAACCAATGTTTGTAGTCCACCACCTACCCGAGCTACAATGTAAGCTCATTATATTCCTAGGGGCCAACATAATGCCTAACACAGAATGGTTACTTGATAAATACTGGTTTGAAGAAACGAAGGAAATGACACTGTGTTGGAACTGTGAATAAACCTGAGTATTCGGAGCATAGAGCAGGAAATAAGAAATTAAAAATTTCAGTCATCTGCAAAAAAAAGTTAAAACGGCAGTCTTAGGGGCTATTAAAGGTAAGCAGAGAGCCAAGCATAGAAACTGAATGGCCTTTTTTTCATTCATTCTCTTCCTAAGTATCTCATGGCTTTCTGCCCCTTCTTCTAAGAACCATCTTGCCTTGGCTTTCTTAACAGTATGCTTCCCTGGCTCTCTTTCTACTATATTCTGAACACTTTTGTCTTCAATCACGAGATATTCTTTACACCCGCTCTGTTTTTCCTTCATTTATTCCGTCTCTCTCTCTCAAACCTACTGCACATTCAATGTTTTAACTATTATCTCTATGTAGGGACCTCCTAAATCTGTAATTCCAACTCTGTAGTATTTAAGACTCTTGATAATCTGGTTCTAATTTCTATTCTCAACTTGATCCCATCATTCCCAACACAAATTACTACAAATATCTGGTTTAACTCACAATCCTCAAACATAAGACCTTGATGATCCAATCTTTAATCTTGACTTTTCCTCAGTTTAAGGCTCAGTTTATGGAGGGAGGTGGGGATCAATCTTAACAGACACTTCAACACAACTTCCATTAAACCTTTTTCAACTGAACAAGTCCAATGGTCTATATTTCTAAACCTGTTCAACATGTATTTTATGTTCCACCTTTTGTTATTTAACTCATCATATACTGATAACACATCCTCAACTAAATTGTAAACAACTGGAAGACACAAATTTTGGACTTTTAAATATATTCACATAACCAGTGACATAATTAGGACTCAAATATTTCTTAACTAAATATAGAAGAAATACTTTCTAGGAGAAATCCATCTTCCAGAAAACGTACTCATGACAAGGGAATATCACTGTTTCTTTTGCCTATAAACAGTTATAGAATACTGAGTATGTTCCAGGCATTTAAACAAACTTTATCTTACATAATCTTCAAAATAACCATCAAACTAGACATACTAATCCTATTTTACCGATTTAAAAAGTAAAACACTTTCAACTCTAGAACACTATCTGCCAATGTCTCACAGATAGAAAACAGAATGTGAATTAAAATCCAAATCTTCAAATAACCTCATGGTGGATGCTTTAATCTGACCTTCCGCCTCCGCACTCCCCACCCCCAGATTCGCCCATTAGCAATGGAGCATTTATTATACTAGCTTCTGGAAGTATTGCCAGCACACAATCCTCAGTTGTCAACCTCCTTCAGAGATTTCACTCTTTGCATATGATCACACCCCCTTCGTAGAAACAGCCCACAACCAATGACTAATTCGATGTGGGGATATAAAAAGGCCCTAGATGTGACTCAGGAAAGCTCTGAAGTGTGAACTTCTCTTCAGAACTCACTCTCGGGAGGGTTAACTAAAGTTTCTGTTGAGATTTCAGAGCATCTTGATTCTTTCCTACCTAAGCTTGCTCCCTTCCCTTCCCTCTTCCTCCATAGCTATCGATTCCAAGAGTCCTCCTGTATAGATCTCCTTCATGCTAATCTGAGACACAACTTTCCACACCAGCTATTATCAGATGATATTGTTTTTTTTGTGTGTGTTTTTTTTTTGTTTGTTTGTTTTTGGTATAGCAAAGGTGGAGATTTATTGAAAAACAAGTACAGACTCCCACGTAGGGAGGGGGAAAGGGTCCCCCAGATGATATTGTTTTGACAAAAAATATAATAGATACAAACAGTCCATCACACCTTTAAGAGATTGGCTAATGAAAAATATAATCCTTGTTTTGGAAATTAGTCTACTTTAATACCTGAAGGTAATTAATTTTTTGATTCTTCAGAGAAAATACATTGCCAACATATATAAATTATACGTATTTTATGTCTCCTCCAACTAAATGTAAAATCCATGAGAGCAGGAACTCTGTTTTGCTCACTGCTATATCACCAATACCTAAAGCAGTGTCTGGTCCAGAATGGATGCTCACTTAATATATACATTAAATGAATGAAGGTGTCACATGCTGTACTCTAAAGAAAGCAAGGGAAACGTAAAAATAAAAAGCATTCCAGAAAAGAGGAATGGCACATAAGAGGCAGCCAAGTATAATGGTTCAGACCCTGAGAGCTAAAGCCAGGGTGCTTGGGTTTGCATCAAGGCGCTGTCACTCACCAGCTGTGTATCCTTATGTGAGTTACCTAACTTCTCTGTGGCTCAACTTCATCATTTATAAAACAGGAATAATAACACCTCATATGGTATTATAAAGATTTAATGGAATAAGTGGATTAATCTTTATAGTATTTAGAATAGTGCATGTAGCATACTCTATATGTATTGAATAAATTTTTAAAAATAGCCCGACTGGTGTGGTTCAGGGGTTGAGCATCGACCTATGAACCAGGAGGTCATGGTTCGATTCCCGGTCAGGGCACACGCCCTGGTTGTGGGTTTGGTAGAAAAAAAAAAGTTATGTATTCATAGAATAATTTAAATAGAAGTGAAACCTCATCAGAGAGATAAAAATAACCCAACCTTCTAAAAGCAAAACTCAGATGCTTCTGGTTTAATATGGTAGAGGGAACACACATCTATATCTTTTCATCCTAAGGGCCCACTGAAATGACAAGTTATCAAAGGCTTTGAAAACAAAAAAAGGCGCAAACAGCATACCAGGAACTATGAGAAAGTCCTCGAGGATTGAAAACAGATGGGATAAAATTGACCCCAGAAACCATACCAGCCCCAAAAACAAGAGTTAAGAGGAACCTTAAAAAAGAGAAGTTTTATTGACATAAGATTACTTTTCCCTCCTCTAAGCATCTAAGCACATTACCTGGAATCTTCAAGTGCATAACACTTACATAAGCATTCATTATAAATTCTTTTTTAAATCGCTTTAAAGAAAAAACTATGAGTTAAAGAGTAGAATAATGTTATAAACCTTTACAATGCAAAAATTACTAAGAAAAATCATGATATGAAAAAAACGAATGGAAGTATAAACTCAAAAATGTTCCTTTTCTAGTGCAGAGTCAGTACTCTAGCTAAACTAGTAATACAAAAATGGGCAAAGAACTTGGAACATATATTTCTTCAAAGAGGATATACAAATGGCCAACAAATTTATGAAAACATGTTCAACATCACTAATCATTGGGAAAATGCATATCGAAACTATAATGAAGTATCACTGCACACCCATTAGGGTGCTGACTATTTAATAAGTGTTGACAAGGATGTGGAGAAAAATTGTTGCATTGTTGGTG